AGAATGATAAAAAAGGATTTAAGAAAAATATTTAAACATCAACAAGATGAACCCCAGTCAGAAAAATATAAAATTTTATTATAGTTAACTTTAATTGTTACAACAACAATAATTAAAAAATTTACAAATTATTACTGAATACATATTACAATCATAAACAATTTGATTACCTATATTATATTGATTATATATAGGGATACCTATTAAAAATGTTTCAATTTTCGTAACAAGCATTGATTGTTTTAAACTTCAAAGGGTTCGAATTCACAAATTATGGATACTATTTTTTTTTCGTTTTATACGAATATAAATAAATATCTAATATATACACAGTCAAACTATTTTTAATTATTTAGAAATACAAATTGCATTAAATGGATTTGTTAACGAACATCACCATACCTATGCTATGTGAAACGGACTATAATCTAAAGATGTAACTCTACAAATTACTTACTTGGAACTGTTCAAAAGTTGGTTTTCCTTAAATCAGTGAGTGTAAGTTTTCATTGTTTATATTAAATATATAACTCACAGTATTCAACCTTGATATAGATAAAATTGGCAAGTCGTTGATATAGAGATGTCTATGGAACACAAGTGTTACTGTCGTGGTGACGAGGCCACTAGTCTGGACTTGGAGAAGCCGGAACATCTATTGCCAATGATGAGACCCTTCTCCATGAGGTTTTTCGATTTTACTTGTAGTATAACTGTGTATCTATTAATTAATTAGTTAATATTTTACAGTATAACATTGTATACAAACAATAATTAGAATATAATTTTTGGTTTATATCTATCTGTTTTTGTAGTTTGCTTTGACATTATTACCTAAGAAGTAATTTATGCCTTAGAAGGCAAATTAAATTATTTGGATAAAACAGATTTAGACCATATTTCTTATGATTATGACACATTTTCTGGTTAGTTTTGCAAAATTAATTAAGTGTTAGAAAGATAAGAGTATTTATCATAGTTAGCATTATTCATTATTTTTTTCTATTTGCAATTTACATTGACGTTATATTCTAAGAATTCAAATGTTTTCATCAACATTAATAAGAAAACTTGTTGACATGTTGAAATGCTCATGAAACTTTAGCAATTTGAATATTATTGCGTGAAGATTCATCAAAGACTTAATTGTTAATTAAAACTTGAAGTCTTTTATTGTTACGTTAAATTTATTTGAACCCCATTAAAACAATAAACTATAATTAATATTTGACATCGTTTAAACGCGACTGCACGTCAGGTTGATGACGACTAATTTTTGATTGTTTGTCCGTCCGGTAGAATGTAAAAAAATATTAAACTAGTATTTTTTTTTTCGTAATCATAAAATTACGGCGTTACATGAAGTTGAAATTTCGCATGACGTCACGTTATTGTACGTTTTCTACTAAACTGTGACGTATCGAGCCCCCACTCCTCGACTTTAATGCCTGTTATCTAAGCTATTTCTTGTTAATTTAAAGTAAAAAGAAATACGTATCTAATATTTTTCTATTATCTGACTGACGGACTAAATATAATTGCATTTTTTTACCCAGATGTTATCTCTATTCTTGAGTTGATCTTAAAGTCTACCCTCAAAACATTTAGGTTTAAAATCAAGTGGAGATAGATTTGTATAACCTGAAATGCTGTTAACTGTTTTCCCTCATTTAAAATATTAGTATTTTAAGTAAATTGACTTGACCTTTCTCACATGATTGCTCGGTCGCAACAATAAAATATGCACTTTTCAAGGCCAGCTAATTAAAAAATCAATAAATACCTCACAATAGATTTTTTACAAAGAAATAACGTCCAATTAACCTCGCTGCCGAGTGGTTCGCATACCAGTTTCAAGGTGTCGCCATTTCTGAGGTTTCGGGTTCGACTCCCGGTAGGGTAATCGAAGAAAAATATTTTTTTTTTGTTTGTGGTCTGGGTGTTGTTACTTTCGTTGTATCAAATAATCCGTAATACTTTAGTTAATCATCGTGAAATCTGAGCAAAATAATATTTGATAATGTCTAATATTTAATTGAAATCAGCTGTCAATTAAAAATCTACAAATACATCTTATAATTATAAACACAAAAATTCATATATAAAAAGATGGAAAAATTAATCCAATAATTCAATATTTTTTCAATTTCGTTTCCGTACACTCTTTTTTTACTATAGGGTAAATTAATAAATATGCGAGTCGTTTATTACTTCGGCTAATACGACTTTACGGAGAACTTTACTAAAATCGTAACTTTTTACGCAAAAAATAACATTTTGGTTTGCGTGCAATTAATTTGTTAAAAACTATTTTGACCTGAATATATCATCCTCCGTCCCTCGTATGTTATTGACGGTCGCGTTGATTTCGTCAGCTAAACAATGTCAGTATTTAGTAAAGTAATAATTACCTCTGTATTCGAGCGGCACGACTCGCGCGCGATGGGTTCCGTACTAGAAACACACAAAAAAATCACGTTTGTTGTATGGGAGCCCTCTAAATATTTGTTCTATTACAGTTCATGTAATACAGCCTGGCGACAGATGGACGGACGGAGAGCGTAGTCTATGTTTACTTCGTTGAAAATCAAACAAATAGGCTAATTTTCTATCGCATTTTTGTCAGATGGACGATGTTATATTCTAATATTAATCAGTTTTGTATATTTAGTTTTTGTAGAATTTATGAACTCTGACATTCAATTACGTCATTGCACTGATACCGCCATACTCAATACTTCATTAATAAATAGTAATTTATTTCTATTGATTTTTTACTTAAAACGCAAGCATTTAACATTCTATTGTGCTTTATCATGCATAGATCAGTACATATAATTTAGTGGTAGGTAGGTATATAAGACTAATACCAGAATTCCAATACTGGTATCAAATCAGACTTATATTGCAGCAATGACAAGAAAGTTAGTATTTATTTTTATGATATATTCTATAGTTAGGTTCCATTTGTTACTCAATATCTAGAAAACTAAATAATTCAAGTAAAATTCTAGGTAAGATTTTATTATAGGCATAGATCATCATTATTCTAGTTGTCATTTTTTTTAGAGTGAATGAAAATTCGGTGCCATTTCAAGGGAATGTGATTTGTAGTTCGAGCAATCGATAGGTATTAGATACCAGTATGTGTTGATAAGTAGAACCAATACCGGAACAACGACAAAAGCTAATGAGAATTCAGTGCATGTTTCAATGCCATTTCAAACGTTTGTTTCCAACATCTATTTATAAATATTTTTTGTACTGGAAGTTGCAGACTGCCAGAAACTGTCACTGAAAATGTAATTCGTAATAGACTATAGTTGTTGATCTTTTAATCGATATTTAATCAGCATTTTATTCTGATACAAATTAGTGTCTCTAAATAAATTAACAAGCTTCCTTAGACTTGCTATCTAATAAGATAATAAATTAGATAAGGGTTTATGCAAAAGTGATAAATATACTTGGGGATTTTAATATGACTAAAATAGGGGCTCCCATTGGAATTATAAAAACGCCAGTTTAATGTACAGTCAACACGACGTATAAGAATATTATGTTCAAAATTAATTTGTAGATTGTCACACAAACATTTTAATTTAACATAATACCTATGCTAACTTATGAAGTTATTTAAATAATATTCTAATGATGTCATGTCTATTTAGGGATGAAAGACAATACGTATGTCTACGTCACTATATGTCTTCTTCGGTTAGAGAACGCAAACACTGCCGTTTTCTTAGCAAAAATTAGGATGAAAGACATCTCATTTTTTGAATGCGGGTTGGACATAAGAACAGTCTACCATATATTTTTTAATTGTCCTAAATCCTCTTCCTTGTTTGACGTGTTTGGGAATATATGTGATTGCCTCATACATTCCTAAGCACACAAATTTTACATCCGTCTTAAGATATGTTAACTCCTCTTTCGTAATCATCCTATGTAATTATATTAAGAGAAAAAATATACTTGATTTGTCTGTCAAAGAATTTTCTAACATCGGTAATGCTTAAGTTGTGCGAGTCCCTTTCAGGTAGTTAAAATTTTACTTTAACAAAATTCAAAATTAAACTTGGTCTTTCACTACCAACATACAAAAAGCAGAGTTTTTTAAATACAATATTATGAAATAAACTGAGTGAAACACACTGGATTCCGGCGAAGTCCACAAGGGCAATGCCATTAATTAAAAAGGAGTGTCTACGTAAATTATTGAAATAAAAGTATAATTTAGAAAGAAAACTTTGATATCACCAAGCAATATAACGAAATGTAAGGAACCTCTTTGGTTTTGGTGATGATAACATCGATCACGTATCATTTTTTTTTATCATGTCTAGACGGGAAAGTATAAAATTAATTACTCTGTTACCATTCAGATTAGATTATTTCTGTCTGTCATATGAAGTGCATTCGCAGATATAAGTGTAAATAGTTAAAGTAAGTTTTTATTTAATACACCTTTTATAACTACAAAATAATATAAGTTACTATATACCTACCTACATATTATAATAATACTTTATTTTACGGCCGTCCGTGTGTTGCCTTGTATGATCCTGTTTTCTAAGCGTACATTAGAGAGCGTGTGAAATTTTCGAGATTATAATCAAATCAGCACACAGAATGCCTTTATCTTTTCCCATGTGAACGCCACCAGTACAGTTCAGAACAGCCATTGTCACGGGCTTGTTAAAAAACATTAAGTTGTCCGCAGGGTCGTTAATCTCGAGACCACGTTAAAGAATCTGTTCGATTGTGGACTCCTCACTTCCTACCTTTACCATGGCGACGGTAAACTGCTGGTTTCCATATGGAAGATTACTGGGGAAATTAATCACGATGTGTTCCAATTTGATGGCCGATACTTCCCTTCCGAGGCTGATTGTATTAGGTCTGTGGGATGGGGTTTGTTTAAAGCTATGTAATTCTTCTCGGCAATAGATGGCGTCGTAGCGATCTGAATCGCGCACGCACAATGTTTACATTATTATGTATAGTTACTCCGTCACTACCGTAGACGCGTATCATATAGCTCATGTTATCTGTTACCTTTGACCTTAACTTCTATCATTTAGATACTGCTTACTTAGTTTTGTCGGTATTAGTGATTGGTTATTAAACATTATTGTCTGTCATTGGAATGTTCGAGAAGTCGTAACAGTTTAACAATCATTGTAAAAGGAAACAAACAACCTTGTATTTGTAAAACCAAAACGTTTGTTAATTCATGCCGGGCATTTAGTAGTTTATGAGTAGCAGTAAGACTTTACTGTATCATCTGTAGTGTGTACTCCCTCCACGTGTGTGTTCAATATAGGTTTTTTTTATAATCAGTAAGCTTATATTTACATTTCGCACATCACTATCACCACTTTATTATTTAAAATCTGCTGCTGCTGCCATATCTTGTGGCTCTTTTATTCCTCCAGCACGCAATGGTTTCTATGAGGTATTTCCCCATTGGAGACACATGCGAAGTGGAGTCGAATCACTAGATTCGAATTATAATCTGCTAATCAATATTCATAATTATTGACATTTTAGATTTATATCACATTCAACTTCATCCGATTAGCCTTTTGCTTCGTGAGATAGGATAATAAATTATAATAATTCAATTGGATTAGTATTCATGTCACTATGCAGGAAAGTGTCTTTTAAATTAATGTTATAAACAAAACCATACGGATGGCCCTAAAACTAAAGTAACCTAAATTCAGTCCCATCTCGAGTCTAAACCCGATGAAATTTTCAGGGATTTAAGACAATGCCGAGATGGATGTGTTGTGACACTTGGTGCAACAGAAAATTCATTGATATAGAGAACCATGTACAGGAGAAGAAGGTCAATCTCGTAAAGGATATACCTGGCGATAATGCTAGAAATGAGCCTGATTTAGATACGGGGTATGGTAGACAGAGGACGAGGTCGAATACAATGAATTATTCATTGTGATCGCTTAATTAGCGCTGGAAGTGTTGATTACTAATCATATCGTTAAAAAATTTCGGCCTTGTGAAATTTGCTCCCTTGGCGAGTAGCGTATAAGCCTGTAACTCGGTTAATTTAATTATAATACCAAGTTAATGACAGCCCAGGGATATACTTATTTTGAGATAGATTAACGGTTGTTTAGCGTGTTTGTTTAAGTTTCATTACGAATTACCGATATAATGTATTATTAACCTTGTTTTAGGGATACATACTACAAAGTATTATTATTGAAAATACTTTCTTACTTGTTCTGCAATATACGTAACTCTGATACAAGCCTTATTTGTAAGTAGGTAGTATCATACGTAATGTAGTTCAGTTTACATTAGCACATAAACTTATAAAGGCAATGTTTAGCAGTATAGTGATGTGTTGTATTCAAGATCTTACGATTGGGTAATACAGTTTGAATTCGTGCCGTTGCAGTTTCAACAAGATGCCTCTGCAACTGACCAAACCAGCGCCTCAGTTCAAGACCACGGCAGTGGTCAACGGCGAGTTTAAAGACATCTCTCTGTCAGACTACAAGGGCAAATATGTGGTGCTGTTCTTCTATCCGTTAGATTTGTAAGTATTGAAACCTTTTTGCATAAAATTGGTATTTGGAAGTGTGACCGAATAAGCATCTGTAAAGTATATTTCTTGTATTCTTTTCGGTGTTTTGGTTAGAATCACGATAATAGTTGCTTTGAAAAAAGTATTATACAAATATTTATTAAGGATAAAAATAATACAAATATTTAAAACAATACGTTTGCATATTCATATTTCATTGACTTTTGTTTTTGAGGTTAAGGGAAACTTTAATAACCTTGGCTGGTCCACATTTGTGTGCAGTCTTAATTTATTTAAAATTTATTTCGCGGTTTCATTACTCGTTCGCGTTCTGATCGGATGACGCGTAATACAATATGACATCTTCCGACTATTTCAAGTACAGATAAGAATTTTAATTTTTGTCAGTTTTTATCTAATAGGTATATTAGTTAACTAAAGGTACCAACATGATCTGAAATTATTTATCTGATATTTAACTTGAAGTATGGAAATATGCATGATATGTAATATTATATTTAGCTAATTTATTTATTTTTGATTCATTTTTTATATGATTGTAGCTTTGCGCAGTAGTACATATTTTATAATAATAAATATGTATTACTGCGCAAAGCTACTTTATTACTTTATTACGAACTTGCTACAACTTTGAAGATACAAATTTTCAGGGTTTGTTTAGTTATAGTATGTCTCGCAATTCGGTGTGCCTCCTGGCATAGGCCTCCTCCAGCTCTCTCCACTCAACTCTATCTTCTGCTACTCTGGTCCTATAACGTCCCAAGGTTAGGCGGATATCGTCATTCCATCTTGTTTTTTGACGCCCCTTTCTTCTAGCGTCCTCTCTGGGGTACTGTAACGTCAGTGCGCATTACTATAGGTAGGGTTTACCCTTCGGACGGTTTATGGTCATTGCTGGCCGTTAATATTTCAAATTATTACTTTTTCCATATTCGAATTCGCGTGTTCGTGTTTTGCTGGTGAATAGTTTTCCTTTATGATCGAGACCAGTTTAGAATGAGCATCATGGTATTTGGTTGTAAGTGATTAAATGTTATACTAATTGAAATAGATCAAGACTGAGGGGTTCTACCAGTTTTTTCATTGCGCCACCCACCTCCACCATTAGACTAAGTTGCCATAGTACCATAAAGTTCCTTGTTTGCTCTATTTGTTTGTTTTGCAACGTAGCATATATTTAGAAAAATAAAAGGGGTTGTAGGTATTGCTTTCTATGAGGAATGGTTTTGTAAGTTTTGTCCATCGGCAACAAAATTTGCAACATAAGAAATGATAATTAATTTTATCAACTTAGTTATTAACTTTATAATTTGCAAAATTATGTAATCAATTAAACTTTACGATGACCTTATGCTGTGTTATCTATCCCAAGTCTTTACTGTTACATTATTGAACCTCTGTTATATTTTACTTTTCTATTACAAGTATTACGTTTGATTATTAAATGTCATTCGATAAATATGTACAAAGTGAGCCGTTGGCGATCCACTAATATTTTTCTCCTGGTATTTGCTGCACTAATAGGGGCGTGGAATAATTTTCTTTAATTCGAGTTAATTTAAAATAAATGCAGGGCTTAATAATATATTTACCGTAATTTAACACAGAAAGGGTAAAAATATGAATGGATATATGAGTAATTGATAAAAAAATAAATAAACAAATTGAAGACACTAAACACTAAATAAATAAATATTCGTTGCGTTCATTTGTTGAATGAAAAAAGTATTCACTAGCGCCAACAGATGGCGTTAGTGCATATACTCCTGCTGACAGAATGCCCCTCCCCCTGCAGAGCAAGCATAGTTCACTTATACGCCAATAGATGGCGTTAGTGCATATACTCCTGCTCACAGAATGACCCCCCTGTAGAACGAAAACATAGACGTATCCACGTCAAAAAAATAATACATTTTATAACATCATAATCTAGTGAACTATTAGTGTTTGAATGGTGACGGGGGCGACAAAATAGAAAGTGTTCTCACTCCATCTTAAATCTGTCTGTCTATCCATATCATCACGCCGTGTCCCTGGCGGGGTAGGCAGAGAGAACAGAACTCCATAATGTACGGTCCTTAAATCTTTCGCCTCATCGGCTTTCATTACTCTTTTCATACTCGGCTACTCGGTGTTTTTGGCTCACGTTAAATTACTTAAATCTGTTATTGCTGAAAAAAACAAAAATTAAATGTTTTTTTTTTTAATATAATAAATACATATATGCTTTCCTTTTTTACTGTTGTTACTTCTAATTTTAGATGTAAGACTTTTCTCATCTGAAGGCAACGTAATATTATCGAATAATAATTGTTTGTAGCACCTTCGTGTGCCCCACCGAGATCATATCGTTCTCGGAGCGCGCCGACGACTTCAGGAAGATCGGCTGTGAGGTGATCGCCGCGTCCACCGACTCGCACTTCACGCACCTCGCGTGGATCAACACACCGCGGAAACAGGGTATGTGTCATATTATATACATCATCTTTAAATCAGTTACACATTTCGTTAGTGAATTAACACCATCGGTTCGTAATATGTACTACTATATTTTATTGACAAGAATCGATTGTAAAATGATTAATAGTTTTCTCTGTATAAAAAACTCACTAAAAAGTCTATCTATCTATCTCTGTATTATCATGCCGTATCCCTAGGCAGAGAGGAACGGGCGTATCAAACCGTAAGGACCTTTACATAAGTCTTTCGCCTCTTCCTCTTTCATTACTATTTTTACATACGCTCGCCGGTTTTTATGGCTACTGACATCACCTAACATACCTAACCTAAGCGTCTCCGTTGTATATCAGCTGCGTCATTGTTTCATCCGGTATTTTTCCACATGTCCCAACTAACAGAAAGTGTTTCTGTTTATTCTTTAATTAATTAATATGCTGTGTCGTATATACTCATCGCTAAAAGACTGACTGACTGACATAGTGATCTATCAACGCACAGCCCAAACCATAGGACGGATCGGATTGAAATTTGGCATGCAGGTAGATGTTATGATATCCGCTAAGAAAGGATTTTGATCAATTCTATCCTCAAGGGGATGAAATAGGGGGTGGAAGTTTGTATAAAACTTTGTCAATTTTAAACCGATCGGGCTGAGACTTTGCATGCATAAAGTTACTACGACTTAGGCATTCCCTAAGAAAGGATTTTAATAAATTCCACCCCTAAGGGGATAAAAAGGGGATGAAACTTTATTTCAGGTATCTTACATGATATAATGAATAAATATTCGTTAGAAATGCTGCTCAAAGTGACTTTACCACGCGGACGAAGTCGCGGGCAAAAGCTAGTTGTATTATAAAATAGACATTTTTAATATGTATGCATGCCATTAAAAATATTGAATCAGTGTGCTAGTGTACTAATAAATAAATATATCGCGATGTGTTGGCGTATGTAGGCGGTCTCGGGCCCATGAACATCCCCATCCTGAGTGACAAGTCGCACCGCATCGCGCGCGACTACGGCGTGCTCAACGAGGAGACCGGCATCCCCTACCGCGGCCTCTTCATCATCGACGACAAGCAGAACCTCAGGCAGATCACCGTCAACGATCTGCCCGTCGGCAGGTATGCATATCGTGTCAAATATACTAAGAACAAACATAAAAAGAACTCGTAAAATCAGAGTTTCGTATAAACTGTCCCTGACTATCGAAATGAAAGAGTATATACGAAATAAAACGCCTCTCAACAAAAAATAAGCGTGCGCTGTAAACTTTATAGTGTGTGATGCAAACTTATCAGATTTTACTATACCACCACCAGCCCTTTTACGTCCCCACTGCAGGGGCTCAGGCCTTCCTTATGGATGGTTAAGGAGGATGGGCCATGACTCTCCACGCTGGCCCAATGCGGATTGGAGGGTATTAACGACTGCAAATGCAGCCGCGACCAACGGCTAACGTGCCTTCCGAAGCACGGAATAGCTCGAGATAATAATTTTTGGTCACCCATCCCGTGACCGCCCTTGCGAAAGTTGCTTAACGATTACGATCGCGGGCCGCGGCGCTTATCCACTACGCCACCGAGCTACTTGAATCTGATTTTACTGAATACTTAAAAATGTTCAATTCAAATACGGAACGCCTTTAAATGCCAATTTATTTAGAAAACAATAATTTCTAAAAAAATATCCACAAAAATATTAAAATTTACAAGCTTATATGTTACTTTAATTAATGATTATTTAAAATATGCTCTCTTGCTTTCAATATAATATATTATAATGCATAGTAATATACATATATTGAATACTTTCTATTAATACTTGCCGATAATCATGTCGTGATATTACTAGTTAACACGTATCAGTTATAATTGTATTTTTTTTTAATTTTCCCATTATAGATTATCAACTGTCTGTCTGCTGTGTTATCATCCACTTGTCTCGGATTATAATCTAACGGTTAGGTTTGTCGCACATAAAAATCGATGCGAAAATCGTACTATAATTAATGTTACGCGACCAAATCCGTTTAATAATAAACGTTTAATAACTCAAGATTGACAGCAGGAATTCGTGACTTGAAAATTGCAAATCAAATTTAGCGCTAAACAACGCTAAGTTTTATTATTAAACAACGCTGAATTTTACCAACAGAAAGCCTACCTGTTTCTCCGAAAACGAAAATTCGTCTATTTTCAAAACCCTAATAAGAATCCAAAGGAACACATTTTTCGATAATTAATAATGAAACGGAGGTAGGACACTGCTTCTGATACACAGATAATATTGACGTATACGATTTTAAAAACATCGTAAGAACGATTTTAAATTTTTGTAATTTTCGTTCGTAGAAAAACAAAGTGACCCCTGGATACGTACCATTTTCCTACATTTCACAGCAGCGCTGTTGCGTCATCATGTTTACTATTAAAATGATATATTTGTCGTCTGGGATAGTCTGATAGTGGCTCGGTCGCCGGTCACGAGGTCGTCCTCTACACTGTCGAGCCTGAGTGGGTTCGGTGTTTTCCTTATTTCAGATTTCTATAGGGTAAACGTATGTGATGTTGTCTTTATTTGACCAAATGCTATTAATTAATCTGTGCTTCAGAAGGCACGTTAAGTGTTTGTCTCGGCTACATCTGCAATCGGTAACACCCACCCTTCCACAGGGAAGGTCTGTGCCCCAGAAGTGAGGACATATATTATATAATAATGATGAATATAAACACTGAAATTGGTTGTTTCTTAATCACGTGTTCCCATCACTATAGTATAACTTCGTGTCGTTCTGTGTGTGTGGCAGCGGTTTTACGACTGCTCCTACTACAATAAATGATAATGTTATTCAACCTGTTATCACTCGAACCACTTACCGGTTATCTTTTGACTGTTGCCCCAGTTACCATTCATGACAGAGCTAACGCTTCGCCTGAAGTTTCTTTTGGACGTTTTAGAGCTCAAAATTAAATTATCGTCACCTGTCTATTCATGTTCTCCAGCACCTAAAAATTTTCACATCATAAACATGGATTGATAATAATTAAAAAATACCGGGCATGTGCGAATTGGATTCGCGCACGTAGGGGTTTCCGTATTGGAAACGATCAAAGAAACCGTTGTATGGGAGCCCCCTTAAATATTGATTTATTCTGGTTTTTAGTATTTTTTGTTGAAGCGACGTCAGAAATATATCATCTGTGAAAATTTCAATTGTTTAACTTTTACGGTTCGTGAGATACGGTTTGGTGACAGACAGATACCGACGTGTTAGTAAAAGGGTATTCGATTTACCCTTTACGGTACGGGACCCTAAAAATCACGGTCCATCCATAGTGTAACTTATAACGGCAATCACTATTATAAATACCTGTATTATCTAACAGATGGTGGTTATACCACTCATGGTCTCGTGAGTCCTAAGCCATTTCGTGTCATTCATCATTGTCCTCTTAATCTCACCACTACTGAGGCTAAATTAAATATATTTTATTAAGATTTTCTGTTTGTAACTAATTTCCCCAGCCAGCAAAGCTACCTTTTGAGTCACCCTATCTATTAAAAGACTCCTCAATATCCGTTGCATTGTTTTAAAGATCTAAGCATACATAGGGACAGACCACGGAAAGCGTCTTTTATACTATGTGGTGATGTAACATTGTGTAATGCATTGAACCCGTAATATCGCACGAATTGTGAATGAATCAACTTGATATTAATCATTATATAAATATATAGGCATTTATGGTCTCACGGTCGCACATATCGCGCACGTACCCGATAAACAATTTTACGTGTGAATCAAATTCAATGTCTACCTATTGTAATACAATAAATGTCCGAATGTGACACTACTTTTATGCCAACACAACTAACTTATTATAATAACCATTGTGTAACCTAAAGTGGCCTACACCTCTATCGAATAACAACAGAGTTTATTACAGTACCTTAAAGATAAAATATATATCACACAACATTGCTCACGTCTTAAATTGAGTAGCACTTGTATAATGGGGAATATTGTGTATTAAAGGGTTTTAAAAATATGTTAAAGGAATACTATCTATCACTTTAGGAAGAAATGCTATCGTATCATCCTGTTATATTTATCTTGGTACTGTTTTATTTTAAATGTTTGTATGTATATTGTATTATATTATATTATATATGTTTATTATATTATATTATATATAGTATATTATATTTATATGTATTTATATGTATATGTTATTTGTATGTATATATGTTTCTGTCGCAATGTAAGACACCATCTACTACCCGTCTATTTAGTAACAGTCCAGTCTAACCTATGGTTGCCTGGCAGAAATTGCTCTTTAGCGATAAGGCCGCCGATTGTACAACTAAACTGTATCAATTGTAATTTCTCTATAATTTATGGTGCACAATAAAGAATTTATTCATTCATTCATTCATTGTTGTGTTACAACACCCAGACCCGAGCCTATATAGAAAAGTTATTTTTCTACATTGATGCGACCGGGAATCGAACCATAACTGTGGTCCACAGTGATGACGAGGCCTTAAACTATTTTATATTATCAATATTTTCCTGTATGTTAAAATTAATAATGAATACATACATCCCGCGAGTTTAAATCTCAGCATACAGACAGCGGGGAGCGACTTTGTTTTTTACTATGTATAGATAGCATAAGAAACTTTTTACATTATGGCACTTTACTTTTTACATACTGGCACGTGACGCAATAAACTATGTTTAAACCCCGACATGACTATGACATGACATAATTCTAATAAAAGTGAAACAAGTTTACTGTTGCATCAGCAATTTATTAACAAAACACGTGTCGCCCAGACGTTGATAACCCAGTTCCAATTGAATGCACCATTCATCATAACTACAATCTACGGCTATTAATAATATAATCGAGTTTCATATACTGTTGTCATTAAATAGTATACCACTATAAGTACTATAGCTATACCTATTACATAGATATCAAGATACTATGTATTAAGGTATTTGTGTTACGACGTTTAAGGCACATTTAATGCTGCCTTAAAGCCAGTGTTTTTTAATTTCTACTGGGCCGGTATCGGGAAGACGCCTGAATTATCAAAAAAAAAAAACTGATCCCAACAAACACTGTCTTCTATCTCCAAAATGTGTAATATATAGAATGACATAAAATTATTTTATAAACATTGACTGATACGTAAATAAAAGAAAAGTTGCTTTGAAACTCATTTACGAACACATTTACAAGCTTGTAAAGTATGTAGAGATGTCGCAGCCAAATGGTATAATCAGCCATTCAGTTGGGCGGCTAGCCCTTTAATTGAACGGCGCTATTCAATTCTAGGGGCTAGCAGCCCATTTGGCTGCGACATAATATAATTAGTAATTATTAATTATTAAACAGGAGACATAAAACTAGTTTTATTCAACTGCTATGTGTATACACTTAAAAGGGTGCAGTGAATGATATAGTTTAAAATGACCGAGTTTATTTATTTATTTATAAAAGTATATAAATAAAGATTTATATTGGTCTGTTTCTCAGCATGCGATATTTATTTATTCGTTATATTTATATATAGTACTGCCACATAACACATATTAATACTTTAAATTATAACTATACTAAATAAAAAAATAAGTCTGATATATGTTACAATTAAGGCGTACATAGCATTCGCAGTCAATTTATTTGAAGTCAGATGAGTTTGTGATATAAAATAATTAATAAAGATTTATTTCATTTTTTTAAATAATGATATTATTATTTTTTTATGAATAAAAGTGCCGTTGTACTGTCAGGTCGGTGGAGGAAGCCCTGCGGCTAGTGCAGGCGTTCCAGTACACGGACAAGTACGGCGAGGTGTGCCCCGCCAACTGGACGCCCGGCGCCAAGACCATCAAGCCCGACACCAAGGCGGCGCAGGAGTACTTCGGCGACGCCAACTGAACTAAATGAATACTGAGTCGACACCCCGTCACATCACACCAACGTTATATCCGGAACATATACAACAAGTTTTCATACGAACCAACATTAGCAGTGGTTTAATGACGCGTGAACTCATACTACAAGTGATTTTGGATTTTGAATCGTCGGAATTATGTTGGATTGTTTTTTTTTCTAAAAGCTCATATTTGTAGAAGATGCATAAAATTGTGCGTATTTAGTTTGATCTAATAATAACGCTTTTATGAAGTTAAAGTGGCGGACTTACCTCGTTGGGGGCCAGGGGCACCACTCCAATTTATGATTCGATCAAGACAAACTTGCAGCCATTTAGAGGCCCCCAGGACGAGAGGCCCGGGACGGACCGCCCCTATAGTCCGCCACTGGTCATATTCATGTGATGAATCTGAGAATTTTGTTCCTTCCTGGTTCAGATTTATGTTAGTATGTGTAGTATATTCTCGTATCACGCGTCTACTTTTATAATGTTAGTTTTATTTCGACTTTGAAAACGATCAGAGCCATTTTTTAATGTTATTGTAATACATTCCATGTACTATTATAACATTACAAGAAGTCAACTGAATTTGAAAGGTGAAAATTATAGTTTATAAACATAAATCATCAATGTGGGTGTCTAGATAATATTGTACGTATGGATCTAGCAAATTATGTGTAACTTTTCTTCGGTATTGTTACAAAATTTATTGGTGAAACATTTAATTCTAACTGTTGTAGAAACATTCTGTTGATCAGAATATTCTTTTTTTTTTAATAATATATTGTTACTGTATGTAGTCTCTATAATAAATTATAAACTTCACATAGCGAATGAACGTGTCTTTGCGAATCTCAAACGCAAATGTCAGTCTGCGAACGATAATGTGCGCGTGCGGCAATGTCTTGCAAATTGTATCAGTATTCGTAAAATATCCTATGGTTATAACCTTTGTATGGAGGCTGTAATAAATGCTGTGTTTTTAATAATAAATATGTATTTTATTTTATCGAGTCATTTTGAGTATATTTTTTGCGCTACTTCATCTTAAAAAAGTCCAGTCTGAACGTTTTGAAATCGTATTAGAATATTTGAAAAGAACCTTTTCATTTGTGGCCATTGTGTGAAATCTTAATTTTTTTTTATGCAAGATAAGTTCATAAAGTTGATGTTAAAGTGCTTATAATAAAAAAGGAGATTTTTTTTTTCTATGGACGATAGGCCCACTACAAATCCTGACTTTAATTATCAAAACACTTCTATTTGTTCGGTATAATCAATAAATTATAGTGGATATATTTATTTCTTATTTTCTAACCGCAAAACTAAGTTTTATTTATAACAGTTTATATTAATAAAAAAAAAAAAAAATTTAATAGCAAACGATGAGATTCCTTTACGATAATATTGCTAAGAGTAAAACGACAGGCGTTTTGCAGGTTCATTGTATATTTTTTGTTATTTTGAGTTTCCGGTTAGAACAAAGTGTAGTTTTTTTGCCTACACTAAGTTAATGCTTTCTTTTGGTACAATGGCAATTAGTAAACACTGCCGGAATCTAGTGGGCCTAAAATAAATAAATAATAAATATAAATATTTAACAACATTACATACATTGCTCAGATTCCAAGATGAGTAGCTAAAGCCCCCGTATTATGGAGTATCTAAGACAACTAAGGTACCACAACACCCAGACCCGAGTCAATATAGAAAAGTTAATTTTCTACATTGACCCGACCGGGAATCGAACCCGGGACCTCAGAGATGGCGACACCTTGAAACCGGCGTGCGAACCACTCGGCTAGGAACTCTTCTGTAACAGCAAACTTAAAAAGCTTGCAACGCTAAAGAAATCGGAGACGATATACACATTTTTACGCGCTATAAACTTTTCAGATGGACTACTGTTGGAAAAAAAATAATTGTAAGTACATTACCGTTATGAACTTGTCTTGCATAAAATAATGTTTACGTTTTAATGCACACAAATAAAAGCTCTTTCTTTGTTACCTATAAGAGACAGATAGGACTTAAAGATGAACTTGAACGGGAGAAATCATTTGGGGCAAAATTAAATGCCATGAGATTTTTTAACATTATTTCGTTATAACCACTAATATCCAGCGCCATCCTCTTCTCTTTTGAAAGTCCCATATTTATCAGTCCGTTGCGAAATTGGGACGTAGCTTACCAGTTATGGAGTCTCTGAATTAAACGATAGACATTTTGGCGCTGCTGGGTTGACGGCACTAAATCTTTACAATTTTTATATTTTAGTAATGTACTGAAGATCTTTCATGTTATCTATTTAAAATGGCGACATATATCCACCATATTAACATTATTTTATTATTATACATAAATATTCTTTAACGGCCTGTTTATGAATTAAGAAATGTACAAAATCTCAACTGATTATAATAATAATTATTATTAATAACTTTAGTTTTTAAAAAGTCAGGGTTTTATCAAGCTGTTATCAACCGATCATTAAAAAAAAACAAAAATTAAAACCTGTTAAGTGACGTTTAAGATGGTTTAAACACGGTTTGAGACGTGCTCAACTTCAAATTCTCAATTCAGAAGCCGGGTGTAAGTCTTTCTAAAGTTATGGAGGATTGGGTGGAGTCTACAAACTCGTCTACATTATAACCTTCAACAGTATTTTTTGGGCAGTCGTATAAAATTAAAGATTAATCCCAACAAATGATTTCACATCCTGCAAGTCGCCACTTACGCGATTTTAATATATTAAAATTTAAATGTAGTTTTGGGTATAATAGCAGGTTTAAGTAGAAACTAAAGACTTATTTATTTTACCTTAAAAATAGGGGTTCTCAAACTTATGTCGTCTACTACCCACTTTGAGAACAAATATATATTATTATACCCGTAATATTAATTATATATATTAGCGGAATTTAAAAATTCATTCTAAATAAGACTTAAACGGAGCGATCGATTCAATTGACATGAAATTTATTTTATTTATTCAATGAAACAGAGCAGATAATGGATATATAAATTACACGGAGATAAATATAGAACAGTGTTATTATGAGCAATCTCTTAATTAATAGGGTATTAGTTGATGTTCACAACTTGTAGTCGATAGCCGAAAGCGCAGTCAGTGTCGAAGTCCTTGCATATAAATTACAAATCGTCCCCCTGAGCCTTTACACAGCGCCCCCATTCTTCCCTTCCCCATCATCTTGTCAAAGACAATCCAGTACAAATTCAAAATCATTTATTCAGTCTGGGTTGTTACAAGCACTCGTGAAAGTCGAAAACATGCCATCGGTCCGCCAATCTACGGTGGGAGAACTTGTACTAAGAAGATCCGATAAGAAACTCAGCAGGGGCTGCCTTTTTCTCCTTGTTTTATTTCACACAGATAAGTCTTATCGGAAAATGACTGCTAAGTCTTATCGGAAAGTAACTTTTTATTACAACAACAGAAATAACAAGACAGATATTATTCGATTACTTACAGATTAATATGCCGGTTGCCGTGTCATACATCATCATCAGCCGGAAGACGTCCATCGCTGAACATAGGCCATACATACTCATTAACAAATCATTAAACAGTATTCCTAATAAAATAAAATGGACATAATTAAATTGTTCAGAGCAGACTCATTCCCATTGGCAGTACCCGTTTACGAGCATGACGCATGAGGCATCTTTCGCTTCGCTCAAATAATGGAAGTAAACTATTATTACATTACTATAGTATACAGTAAAGGGAGTATATTATATTTCTTAATTACATGACACTACACAATAACATTAACACAAAGTCATATTGAAGTTAGATTTTTGTTCAGTAGGTAATCACATCACACCCTCACCAGCCAATCTATTAAGTCCCCACTGCTAGAACACAGTCCTTCCCTATGGATGGTATCGTATCGGATCGAATAAGGAGAATGAGCCATGCATGCACACTACATGGGTCCAGTACGGATTGGTGGGTGTTAACGACTGCCGATGCAGCCGGGACCGACGGCTTAACGTGCCTTCCGAAGCGCGGAGAAATTCGAGATAATATTTTTTTGGTCACCCATCCTATGACTGACCATTACGAAAGTTGCTTAACAACTATATAGCAGACTAAACGTCCTAAACCCATACGCTGTGGGTGTGTGATACAATAGAATTGGCACCGGTTTCTTTATTATAGTTCTAAACTTATAAAAAACTTTCTCAGAAACCTATTCCGGTACAAAACAATACCCTATTTTTGTTATATTACGATATGAAAATTAACTAGCGTAATAGCGTCTTTTAAGATTACGACAATTTGTTTACTTAGCGGAGTGTTCTTTGATTGTTTCTTTTTTGCTTACCGCCGCATTTTGATAGTCGAATCTCGCGACGCGACGCTTGCGTTTCAAGTTAAGGAATCGCATTACAGCCAACCAATGCATTGGATTTAAAATTCGAACCAATGACGTCGCCATTCTGGATTATATCACAACGCCGAGAGGGCGCTTCGTTATGCGTAGCTAGATATTGCGCGCGTCCTTTGTAATATAATTTTTTAATTGTAGTGAGTGATCAAACAAGTCGAAACCAGTCTTATTTATTTTTTGTTGAAATAAAATATTAAAATGGGTCATTATAATAACGAATATAGTGATTATGGCAGCGGGAACACTTCCGATTCTGTAAGTAATGTTTTATTATCTACCTACATAAGCCACTTTCTATTTTTTTTTTACTAAGGAACCGGTATGTCGCAGTTTAAGTACCTACTAAGAAAGATTTCCTATAATTTAAAGTTAAAGAAATATATATATGTTAATAAGCTATACCTTGGGTACTAACTTCATTGTAATTAAACATGTAAGTAAATCCTAGTTCGCCGTAAATGTGGGTAAGTTTGTGATTTCCAAGTGATTTCAATAATTTTGATAACTTTTTTTTAACCAATTTGATTGGTCGATAAATTAATTGAACAATGATCGCCTGGTGTTCAAATTCCACATCAGACCAACAAATGAAAGAGGCATTGAAATCGCCCGTACCCCGCATGCGGGCCCTATCGACCAATACGATTGAACTGGTAGCTAGGTATAAAAACCTTGAAATGTAACTCGGAGTGCCATTTCTCAATGAATAATTTCCATGAACTTGAGTAGTGGCTTCTAGGTAAGGTTCAATTCTGTTACATGCATTTGTTGTTGCAAATAACAGAAAAAAATATAAACTGCGACTTATGGATAGAACTAAATTGCATTTGGCTAATGAGACAAATCTTTCTTAGTTGCTTTTAGAGAGATCTTATAACTTAGTCTTTATATCTGTAATTTCACTCTCATTGACATAAGTAGGTAGGTATATCTAGAGGCATTTTCCATGAGGGGTCAGAAACGCTACTAAAACTGCTGAACACGGAGGCACCTTTTTGCAAAAAAAAAATTTTTAATATTAATTCTGGGCTTGACTATGTCCATCCGGCTGTCCCCGTCTTCCTTCGTCCATACTCATTGTGCGAGGGCCTTAGACAATTTTATGTGCAAAGCGAAAGGGCGTCAATTGTACCAATTTAAGTGTAAAAGAGATCTTCCAGCTTCATAGATCGATTGTTTCAGTCGACCATGTCGTGGGGAGGTCCAGACAGGTGGCGTAAGCCAGAACTCCACGAGACGATGAGGCAAAACAAACAGAAATCATCTAGCTTCGCTGACTGTAAGTACCTTTACACCACTTGAGGTGCGTAAGTTACTAAGGTGCGTAGCGTACTGTATCTACCTCCTTAGGCCCCTTGGCCGTACATTAATTACCAAGAAATATCATAAGGAAGAGGGGGAAGTAGTGACATATCACGTGTATTTATTTTTTCCTCAAACATGCGGAAGTGGTCGAAAATTAAGATTTTTTTGTAAGTACTCAAATATACACGTGATTTGGTTGGAGGGGACTAGTCTTTGTATCATCAAGGGGGAGGGCGGGCTAAAAAATGCTGAAAGAAACATCACGTGATTAATGGACGGCCCCTGAGTAGAAAACAAAATAAATGAGGATTTATTTTGCATCGAGTTAAGAGTCGTAGAGTTTGATGAGGAATCGAATATGAACTCTACGGTAATAGTATTAAAGTTTAAATCACAATATTAAATTAATTAAAAATGTTATTTGGTCGACTGCTAGTGGTGATGGGTCGGTGCACGTTAGACGACGTGATGCAGGAGTTCAAGATGAACGGTTCAGACTCACCGTACACACCCGACGATGACGCGCCGTGGACAAGGTCAGCTCCAATCGTTCATGACCACCAGGCGCAAGGACTGAATCGTACGTATGGAGACATTATGGTTTATTATTTCTTCAAAGTAGGAACAAGGATATAATATAACTGTTATAAACATATAGTAATTCCGTCTGTCTGTCCATATGTATGTTAGATTTTGATACGGTTTTTAATAGATAGGGTGATTCAAAAGGAAGTTTTTTATGTATAATACAAGACCATGCGGGGGAAGCCGCTGGCGGAAAGCTAGTTGTGTAATAAAAGAGTATACTTACGAGAATAGTAGACGAATTTGTAAAATTTTAAAGTCATGTTTGATCCATTCATAAGTACCTAAATGTACACTTATGATTTAGTATATCCTTTGTGATTTGTAAATAGTTATTTAATTTGGTCTTATAGATGTGCGCATTGATTTCGTCTCGTTTTCTCTTTCGTGCTTAGGCACCCTCTTAAGGACGTCAAGGTTTCGTTTACTTTGACTGGCGACAGATGTTGGAAGTATGTATTTTATTTTTATGCATTTATCTTTTAGCGCAATATAATGTAACTTATTTAAATACGGATTATGGAATTTTTAATGTATGTACTTAACTAATTTGAAATATAGTGTATGACTGAAACTTAATCTCCTGTTTTACATACTTATAGGTATAATAAAAGGTTTTATGTTTAGTTTTATAATAGATAGTTATAATAAACGTGGTGATATGTGGCGAATACGAATATTAGTAGGTATTCGGTAAATCACAAATATAGATATAGAGATAGATTAAGTTTATTGATGATTCAGAAAATAAATAAATACATGCAACAGAGGAGCTGTCTGGTCTGGGTCAGTCCGGGGCATACCTCCGGCAGAAGTCCTGGCCGGAACCAGACCGGTCACCCATCATACCGCTCGTCCGCCCGCAACCCCGCTGGCATGAAGAGGAACTGTCGAATGCAGCTATAGGTAACAGCTTTAGTGATGTAACTACTGCAAGATTATTAAATTTGATGAGACGTAAGCGACCGATTAAGCTTATTCTATTACTATTATTGTTCAATTCAACTATTCTCTGTTGAAATAAGTTTAGAGTCGATGCAATTTCATGCATACGTGCGTATTTATATTAAAAATTTTAACACTAACAAGGGAAGCAATAATAATAATAGAAGGAATAATAGAGTTTTTGCCCACATATAGTGCCGGGTGCGTCCCCCCCGCCGCACACGGTGGCGGGGGGCGCGGCCATCACGGCGGAGCAGCTGCGGGTGCTGGCGGCGCTGCCCAACGCCGTGCTGTACGCGCTGCTGCGGGACATGCGCCCCGCGGCTGACGAGCGGCGTCCGGGGAAGAGGAACCAGGAGGTGTGTGCTCACATCAGTAACGGCTCAGTTGTGATACATTATAATTTATGATTAATAATTTATATGGACATGTAAGCGTAACTTTTGTATACAGCTGGCGATGAGGTCGATCATTTTGAAAACACCTTTGACAAATTGACTTCGAATAACGACCGTTTTATTGAATTTCTTATTTTTGACGGTATTAAAAATAGACGATCAGTGGCGTACTAAGGGAGGGGGACGGCCGAGGGGGCGATCCGCCTTTTGTCCTGGGGGGGCCTCCAAATGACTGCAAGTTCTCTCGATCAAGTCTGGGGGTCTCCGGGATTCCCCTCCGTCACCGGAGGCTACTCACCGAAACTCCTACGGAGTACCCTCTCTTTGCTAATAGGCAAAATCAATCCTAAACCTAGATAGAGTCAAAGATCAAATTTCTAAATTGACTTCGTAATATTTCTCCGGTTAAGCGGGCGACTCACGAAAGTTCGGTATGATTAAATTTGGAAGTAACCGTGCAGGAGTGTCGGTTCTGCAAGAACAACGGCGAGCGCGAGTCGTACTACCGCTCGCACGCGCTGAAGCGGCCCGGCGGCGCCGTGGCGTGCCCCGTGCTGCGCGCCTTCGTGTGCCGCCGCTGCGGCGCCAGCGGGGACCGCGCGCACACCATCAAGTACTGCCCGCTCTCCACCAACGAGGGTACGTTGCCCTACACCGCCCATACCATCCAATACTGCCTGTTCTTTACCACCGAGGGTACGTAAACCATCTCCTACACACTATAGGAGGTCGATCGAGATGAACCACTTACGAAGAAGTATTGAACTACGAAGAAACAAAAGACACGCCTAATTTGATTAAACCCTAATCGTTCCTTGACAATCTTTGTCTGACCCCAAAATAAATTCAAATTTTTAAAATAAAAAATTGCATCTACTTTTTACGCAGGCGCTAAAATCAAACCGAGATTTCCAAAAAATTATAAATCTAATTTGTTATTTCAAGCCAATAACTTTTATGTATACTAAGAAGTCCTTTGCCATATCTTTGGTACAAGCTACCGTATTCCTAGAAAAAATGTTTTATGTCCCCGAAATGTTTGAATAAAGTACTAATAATAGATAGACCCAACGTTCTTTTGGTGGTGAACAATCCACTGTCATTGATATTATTACCTGAGGCTACTCAATTTTCTCCATTAATATTAAGCCATTTATTTGCTCTTCCATTGTAATTCTTTTAAGACATTTTCAAGAGCCCCGTTAAATATTTTGGATATTATATAGCCTTGATAAATTCCCCCACCAATATCAATGGGTTATATCAACTTATGATTTTTTACTGGCAAATTGCGTAGTTTTACTGTTTTGAAGAGCAGCGTGTTGTAGTGATCGATGAAAGGAATTTCATCGATTCTACTGACCCCTAGAGCTTTTCAGTTTTGTTAATGAGTGGAATACGGTACTCATTATAATTTCCAATTGGGAATTTTAGCTTTTAGAAGTAATCCTTGGTTGCAAATCTTTAGCGGAATCTAGCGTGCTCACATGTTTGATATTTATTAAGCTTTTAAGTGAGTCGGTTTATATCATTCTGATAATTTTTGTTCAAGTGTGAGAGCAGCTGCTATACTGAATACTTTTTTGTCCATCCATCCATGTCCATCAGGGATTTCTCCTGAGCCAATATTTGAGCTAGAATATCGTTGGCACCAGGCACTTTGTAAACGTAAACCGCTGACTACCGAGTAAGATCCTGTAATCTACAGTAATTGATTGTTGTGGGATCTCGATTAAGTCTCTGATTTCTTTAAAACTTTCTCAGTACAACTGGAATTCGGGAGTCAAAAAACATTATAACTATGAGCTCCGTAGACATGATTATGTACAAAATATACAAATATTACAAAGAATAAGATTGTATCTACTATTACAATTTTGTTTATGTTAACTTATAATAGTTCACCTAAAAAGTTACGTGCCTAAATATTTAATAACTACAATTGACTCCTACTTACGATCTTTTACCTCCTTGCAAAATTTATATTATACATAATTTAGATATTGGGTAAAAAATTACGAATTTTTGCTAATGATAATCTCATTATTATTTTTATTCAATATCAGCAAGTGAGTTACGACATTTTTCAATGCAGGTGTCGAAAGTAGCTTTTAACGGCAGGTATCTATGCTGCTGATTAATAAATATATCGTCACAACTTCCTTCCGGTATGACTGGTGTGTGTGTATTTCGCTTGAAAAATACAATAATTACCTACTTGAACTCTCCTAGAACGCATGAAGTCGGCCGCGATGATGCGCAGTGTCCGGTTGGCGTCGGGCCGGCGCAGGGCCTCGCCCCCCGCGCCCCTCGCGGCCCCCGCGCCTCACGACGCGTACAGCTACGCGCCCCTGGACCCGCTGTGGGCCGCCCTCGAACAGAAACTAATGCTATAGTCTACATACAGCTTGCACCCCAGATTATTCCCGCTCTTTTTTAAGCACCACTGTCGATCCAATTAATGAGAATGTTTTCAGAGTATTCGAATTATCGAGACTATCGAAGTGAGCACCTAAATAGTATTTCAAAATCTACAAGATATTAAAGAATCCTTTCTCACAGAATGCACTATCATCACATTGAAACTGTTTTACTTTTTTCTAGTACAAAATACCCAAATAAGATTAACTAGTTTCATAAGTTGTTTAACTATCCAACGATATTAGTGTTATCTACTGAAAAATACATGAACCTTTGACCGAAAACAATGAAGCTCATGCTTCTGGCTTGTGAAAGTTGATTGTGGTAATATAAGTTGCGTACGGCAGATGGCGCCATCGATTACATTATATGTTTACGAGATTGAAAAATTTATTATTGTTAAGTATTGACCACTTCATAGATTTATCATTTTGACTTGAATTTATAGAATCGTGTTATTTTTATAAATATAATACTTTTATATTGTTAGCGAGTATGCTTATATTAGATAGCTAATATACAAGCGAAAATGCTAAAAATATTGTTGATTAGTTTTATTATAAAAACATTTTGTCTTAATCGATTTAGATTATAAGATGTTTATATGCAGACTATATTTCATGTTATCTATAATATCAGTTCATATTCAGTACCAAGCTAAATATTTGAATAAAATCAATATTCATTTTATCACATATGACATCTGCGGATTTTTTAAGGAACATAGAATGAGATATTCGAATTTTAGAAATCATAAAGTTTAGAAAACTATCAAATAATATTTGTAATATCAATGCTGTGTCATTGAAATACAAATGTTTTTATTTATGAATTGGCTTTTTTTCAAATATACAGTTAAATCATTACATTTTCACCGAATAAACTGTCAATCGACTTCGAATTATGAGTCCTTATGGATTTTTTGTTTAATTAAATAAGTTTATATAATTTATGTGAATTGTTGAACTTATTTCATATCTATAGTTTTTATGGCGATCACATAAATACAACAATTAATTATCCGCATGTCAAATTGCAAAAATAATGACATAATATTTGAATATCTATTATTATTTAAATAATTATTAATGTACAGTAATTGTCATAAAGTTTGCATTTATTAAGTTAGTTAAAAAATTAATGTGTGGCATTATTGATTTATTTTTATTTAGAAAGGTATATTTGTTTCTCTTCGTGTGAAGTTGATCATTAGTTGTGTTAGTTTTTGGGTTTTGGTATCTTTTGGGTCTCAATAAATAATGCAAATCAAATGGCGAGTCTTATTTCAAAAATTTCAGTAGCTTGCGGCAGATGGCGCTGTTAATAACTTTTCACTGGGATTTATTATCCGTAAACTTTTATGGTTATATTGAGGAATAATTCAGAGCATCCGCTCCACATACGTCGTTGTTTTGTCACAGAACCCAGAAAAACGTCTGTTTAAGTATTTTGTTGCTTTAGTATTATGATTAAAAAATTTAACGGTATTTAAAACTTACCTAAGTGTGTTAAATTATTTAATGCACATTATTTATTACAAACAATTATAAAGAAAAATCTGGCTTTATTGCTACGTAGCATTCTCTTCGAGGCAATTTAATGAAGGAAATTAAATTCATTACAATTACAAGCTGTTACAAATATTAGAGCAGAGATTGATATCCTAATGGATAGATTTATATCTTTGGAGTCTTTACCAAGTTCCAATTTGTTGTCGTGTAGATTTCACTGAACTATTATGAAATCTTAAAAGGCATTAGGCAGGCAGGACATGTTGAATATAAACAAACTCGCCAACATTCTCCTACAATAGGTACCTCGGATGTCCACACGATAGTAAAAGTTAACGGAACTATGGCAAACTGTAACACGCCTCCTCCGAGCGCATATAAACACAAACAATTTATAAAATCGCACACCGCATTCGCTTCTATATGCAAAGTCTACCGTGACATACTAGCAACCACATAATAAAAAAAAACTCAAGTTAAGCTTTATTGTGCATAAGTTAAAGTTCAGTTTTCTTCGACAGAACACAAACGAAGCCTTTTTAAATTCCGTATCATTAAAGTCTGAATTTTAAACTCGCGCATCGAGACGCCGCTTACCGTTTTGAATACATCGAAGAAGACCAATCATTATTCGATATACCACCTTATTGCTAACAGGAGAGAGATTCATTCAGTTAGCTTTTTCATTTATAAGAAATAGTATACTCTATTACTAGTCGTTAAAGTCTGTTTTGGTTTACGAATTGAAGTTCCAAAATATGTAGACCTCAATCCGTTTGATTTGGGAATGTGTGTCGCGGATGTGGGTCTCAGGGGAGGGGTGGGGCAGGTGAAAGGGTGGGAGGGGAGCTTGTTAAGATTATGTAGATCTCTGTAACGCACAATAATAAGATTTTAGATAGCTTATTTCGTGGTTTAGTTTGCTTTAAATTAAAATTGCGCTATATGAGTATTTAGATGCCTAATGTTTTGTTTGCGAGTTTTAATCTTACTGATCTACCTACTACCTACATATTTGTATACAAATTATTACAAAATATTTGTTCTGTCACCTATCCGATATCTGAATGGTTTGCCCCATCGATGTCCCCACAAAGATACTTATCGGTAACAATGACTTGACATGGTGTTATTGTTAATATCCGGGTCAATAGTTTAATTAGCTGCCTCCTACTTAACAACCTACGGACCAAAAAAATGAATACATTAACGCTTACTAGAATATAAATAAATATTCATAGTGTAACTGACAATTAACTCGACCCGACCGTTGCTCATTGATTCAGATTTAAATATTGTACGTTGATAAAGCTCTACAATCATTCACACATTTGTTTTTTTATTATTTTCCCGATAGGTAATGCTTTATAGGGATACAAAAGTCAACCCCCGAATACCATCATATCGTATTCAAGAGTATCCCGTAAACATGGCTTGTTGGGCAAAGTGATCTTTCAGTGGCTTCAGAGAGAAATGATCAAGCGATGGACCACAGATGAGATGGAAAGATGATATTTAGAAAATCGCGGAGGTGCAATGCATGGAGCTCTAAATCGAGTAAGTGGCGCAATCTGAAAGAGACTAACACTATTATGATTGAGAACGGCTAAGGAGATTGTTTTCAATGTTATAATGATATATAATCATTTTTATATATCATTATAACTTTGTAGTTTAGTATGGCCCTCTTGTAGTTTAGTAGATCTATAATGTCTATTTCCAAAAGTACTTAAGAGATCATTCAATCTCCAAAGTTCCATTTAATGTGTGTAGGATCCTTTTTACAATAGTTCAGAGGTTCCCAAACAAGTTTTTTCTCGTAGACCATTTAAAAAAATACTTGTTTCGGTGGACCCCTTGCTGCTACATTTTTACCATATTCCCAAAATTCATCGAAAATGTGAAGATCTAACGACGGAAATTGGCGTCGCGAGTGAGTAGACCCCTGGCGGTCCACCCGGACCACTTAGGGAATCACTGCAACAGTTATTTAAATTCTAAATCAAATCAAATACACCAATTTCGCGTTGTGGCCGTTCTACAATAACCTATGAGCTATGTTTTCGCTCAATGAGCTGTTTCGGTCTTTGAGCGTAAAATATACATTGTTAATTAATTGATCCGTTGACATTAGACTTACCCTTCTACATGTGTTTCCTAACATAAATAACATTGATCGGTGGTGGAGCCGTTGTCATTTCGTAAAAAATAAATACCCAAGTAAAAAATATTAATTACTATATTTGTTCATTTTTGCAATCACAATGCTATACTGTAAACTATTCATAACTCACTTATACCCAATGATTAATCACACACAAATTAGGTTAGAATGTCCTGTACCATGTTAAAAATGAAACTAAATTCAAATCTTCTGAAATATCTCAAAAAGGGGACTGCTCTGCAATCTTTAAGATGAAAGGGACATTCTTTTAATAAAAAAGCAGACCTTTCTTCATAGAGATGCAAATTTGCATCGGAAATAGAAGGGCAATGTGGGTAAGAAAAAGTTAACGAAAAATGCTTACAAATTCCATTTTGTCCCTGGGACTCGAACCTATAACCGGCTGGCTTTTACTTTACTTCACCGCTAGTAAATCCCTCCCCTCTTGCAAATATCTCGAAATCGACGTCAAGAATAGCATGTAGCACTATGACAGCATAGATCTTCATTTTAATAAAACCTTTATTACATTGTAAAGTAGGTTCAATTTGATTGAACATCTATGCTGTGACAGCGCTTCATTCAACGTCGAATTTCTATAATAGAATAGCACTGCAAGCTAGTGTGTGTATGTTATTTATTACCTTTAAAGTCAAAGGTTTCTAAGAATATATCGTCAGCTTAATGTACTAAAATTTCGCTAACGAGGTGTAATAGGATAACTATCTTTGTTGCATCTAAGCAACACTTACGGCTCTTATAATTGTGCTTTGCAAATTTCCTTTGACATTCCGTTTAGCGATTTAAAGGTTTATTGAGGAATACTTCGAATTTACAAATTTTAAAACAGTAGGTAGGTATTTCTGAGATGTACCAAAAGAACAGTTTCGTTTTGCACCGAGTGCAAATTCGCTCTTGCATTGAAATGCAATTCCAAATTAAAAATAAGTTGTGAGTTCCCCCGCTCTATTCGGTCGCAAGTTCGCAACAAGCTTCGCGTTTGCTCGGTACACGGCCGCGACATCGGCAGTGGGTCAAGAAACAAGGTCACGCCATTTCTCTCTGCACCGCGCGCGCAGGGCTGGTAACACGTGGTCTTGGCCACCATTATCACCTCCTTGACGATTCTACATTTTTCTTTATTGGCACTTTATTTTTATTACTTTTCACTCACATCTTACCTATTTCTATCTTTATTTTATGCGTGATTAATGGTCAAAGGGGGATACTGTCCCACTTTGAATTACATTTTAAGCAAATCATTGCATTTAAGGGTTTTTTTAAGCTCTACATATAGTAA